TGTTTTTTTTATATATTATAATATTAAGTTAGCATATCTCTACACCAGTTGCGTTTTAAACGCCTTGGAGGATTACCCGGAATAACATTTGATGAAAGAGCTTTGATTAAAGGATTGGAATGAGTTGCAAACCGATTATGGAATCTTTTATAATAAGTGACTGCTTCTTCTTTTACAGTTTTAAGCACCTATACCTACACAATTTCAGTAGACTGTTTTAAAAATGTAACCTTTTTTTAATAATTTAGTTGTACCTACTGGCTACTATTCTTATRAAACGTACAACATACTTTTTAGCCGTTTAATATACCACAAATTCATCAAGTTTTCAAAATGCAGAAGTTAAAAATCAATAATTAAAAAATGTTTAATGGTTTATATTTCACATATATATATATATATATATATATATATTATTAATTTATCATGTTTGGTATTGCTATAATGGAACAAACCGTTCGATTGACGTAATGTCGTACTGCAGGTCAACTATCGCACATCCGATACAATACCAACCGGTTTTTTGCCATGTTTTGCCAAGGCTATMATCAAATCGTAATGCGATCGTCACTATCACAACATTTATAGCGACTGTAGCGTACTAAGACGTAGACCTAGTCACTATAAAAAACAAATAGTCAGATGTACTCACTACTCGGTACTTCTCAGTTGTAATCACGCAACCATTGGGAGTAGGACATCGCTGTAACGGCAAGGTTCACCCGCCGCTCACCTCTTACCACTCACTAATATGTAGTTAAGTAGTTTTAGTAATGGAACGAATCGCCACGCGTTTAGTTTATACGCGTGTCAGTTGAACACCTGACCGTTGTCGGTTCGATCGGTACACAGTGATGGTCGAACAATAATTTTTTCAATCCTGCGATCGGCAAAACATTGGAACATATTTCGATTTGTTTCATTCGACACGACAGTGGTGTGTGCGCTGAAAAACCTATTTTATTCTCGGTAACAACAACAATAACTTTAGAATGATAAATCTGCAAAATTGTTTTTGTTTTCTTGTTTTAATAATGGTTACATAATATACCACATTATCGATACAAGCGTTTAACCTATTCACTAAATCACCATAACATCGAGAAAGTAAAAATATCAAATGATATTCGTATAAATTTTCCGCCGTCATCAAAATTTAATAGTTCAAGACTTCAAGTAGTTCAACAACTATTATATTTTACTTTTATATAAAACAGATATTAGTTTACATGTACCTAATATAAAATAAAGATAACGTTTTTTTTTGATTGGAGTGGACAAAATATTAAATTTAAATATGTCTGAGTTTAATATTTGAAATAAAAACATGTTCYGGTTGATTTGGCTTTTATTATTATCATCAGCTAATATATGAATTACAAAAACAGTCAATTTTACTTTTTAAATCTTACTTATAAGTTACCGATTAGTATCTGAAAAAAAGAAATCTTCTAACAAATACCTATCACTTAAATATGTCATCTAATGAATAAATACTTTCATTTGTCTGAAGTTTACAATAATTAAATTATTTTCATAACATAAAGTAGGTTATGCTATATTGTAATAAATGCTGTCAAAAGTAATAACATCATTTAAACAGACATAAGTGCATCACATACAATCAACATGTCACAATATATACCAATATTCTATAATTACCATACTTAATATAATTAAATTAAGAATATTGTTAAAATATATATGTATATATTTTCTATTTACATTTAATTTTCACAATTAATATAAATTATTAATGACATGCGTAGACGTGTAATGTGTGTAGTGATTATTATAATTTATGACAACGCATTTTATGTATAATATAAAKGCGTAAAGCCTTTTTAGTASRTATATACAGTAACAGTGCATAGTAATTGGCAACAATTTGTTACAATTACAAAATGTATCATCTACTGTTATGGTTTAATTGAATCTCCTTTCATATCTATACTTATTATAATAGTCAAAATGTATATTGTGGAAATTCCACATATTAAGTATTTGAAATTACAGCGTCTTGCTTGTCGTATGATATCGTGCGCGCGTTTATAGATTAATGATCACGCAAACAAAAAGGTGTAAAAAAACAAATACATTTTCTGTTGAATATATATTCACCTACATTCCTAGTAGATACCTTAAACATAACATAATATGTTTTATGTGCATACTACTATATTAGTATGTATA